AGTTACATATGTTCCAGAGCATGGTATTTTGGGTATAAATATGCCAGTGTTTGCTGTCTTGTGTATGTGTGTATTCTAGCTATATGACTACAATGTATTTTTGTTTGTGGATAAACAAGGGATGCTTCATGGTTTCTTCAGACAGGACCAAATGGCTGTGGGATACAGTAAGCTCATTCACTCTAGGCATTATGGGAAAATAAAGAACTCAAGAAATTTTAAGCTGTAATTATTCATTGACAAGGTTGTTTTCCTCCTCCTTCTCCTCCTCTTCCTCCTCCTCTTCCTCATCTTCCTCTTCCTCCTCTTCCTCTTCTTCTTCTTCTTCTTCCTCTTCTTTTTCTTTTTGTTTTTTTTGAGACAAGAGTTTCTCTGTGTAGTCCTAGATGTCCTGGAACTCCCTCTGCAGACCAGGTTGGCCTTGAACTCAGAGATCTGCCTGCCTCTACCTCCTGAGTTCTGGGATTAAAGGTATACATCACCATGCCTGGCTTCTAAAGACTAATTCCTATTATGGTTTTACAACCAAATCTAATTAAGTTTTGAAATCAATCCTGTGGGGTAGCTCAGGTTTTTACAGAAGAAAAAAAATTTAGAAGCAAAGGGATCTATTCGCAGTTTTTTAGAATCAGAGCCAGACAGAGATCTAGAGTCTAACCCTGACATATGCACTCATCCTACTACAGTGATGGGTGTGAGAAGAGAGCCTGTTCATGAGAAACCATCAAAAGGGCTGTGGTCTCTGGAAAGCAGAGCCTAGAAGCCTCAGGTTCCAGCAAGCCAAGCCCTGCTCTGTCTTCTCCACTCTGCAGCTGCCTGCTGCAGAATCTTCTCATTTGCAGCTGGGCTTCACAGGAATGAAAGGCTCCTTGGAGGGCACGGACTGTGATGAACCCGAATGTCAGGCGGCATGGATAAGAAGTAGGCATTTGCGAGCGTCTGACAAGCCCTGAAGGCTGCTTACTATCTCCTTCCCAGGGCTCACCTCTGTAAAGCAGGGATGTGATCATTTGTCTCTAAGGGGTGTGGCAGAGGTCAAGGGCTCTCTCATTCACCCAGCCAGCACGCTTTGACACATCCAGTATACTGTACTGTATTAAGAGCTGGAGGAATACTAATGGAATAATGAGCTCAACGCCATGTTACAGACTATCTGTCGTCTCCATTTCCTTCCATTAATTAGTCTCTGCCTCTAGAACCATATGAGGGAAGACACTGTCTATCATCTTGTCCAGTTCTCCAGCTCCTATCCCTTGGAAATTTTTCTGGCTAACCTCCAGACTTACATTCCACTAGGAGAGGGATCCTTTAGCTTTAGCTCATTCAACAAATCGTTAATTCACTTGCATAGCTGTAGGTACTGGATATACAATCCAACAAGGCCCCTGCCCTTGTGGGCATCATCAATCAAGAAAGTCAGACATTAAAGAAATGAATATGAAAATAATGATATATACATGTACTGGGTGGTTTTATGTGTCAACTTGACACAAGTTAGAGTAAACAGAGAAAGGAGCCTCAGCTGAGGAAATGCTTCCATAAGATCCAGCTGTAAAACATTTTCTCAATTAGTGACCCATGGGGAAGGGCCCGGTCCATTGTGGGTGGTGCCATCCCTGGGCTGCTGGTCCTGGGTTCTATAAGAAAGCAGTCTGAGCAAGTCATGGAGAGCAAGCCTGTAAGCAGCTCCCATCCATGGCCTCTGCATCAGCTCCTGCCCCAAGGATCCTGCCCTGTTTGAGTTCCTGTCCTTACTTCCTTTGGTGATGAATAGTGATGCTGAAGTGTAAGCCAAATAAACACTTGCCTTTTGGTCATGGTGTTTTGTCGAAGCAATGGAAACCTGAAGTAAGACAATACACAAATCATGGTGAAGGTTATGGAGCAAGGAGCGAGAAGTTTAAAAGCCAAAGCGTGTCCCTGCGTGAGACCTTTGGAGGATGAAAGCCAGGCCCGGGAACCCTCCAGAGGAAACACAGTGTCTTCACAAAGAGGTGAAAGGAAAGAAGTGGGGCAAATCCAAGAGCAAGCAGGACAAGGGTCCTCAATGAGACTGGAGGAAGTCAGGGTCAGAGCCACACTGGCCTGGAAACTGAGGTAGGGAAGCCACTGTACTTTCACTCTGCTCTAGTGTCTTCTGCTGTTTCTCCCCAGTGCAGCACAGAAATGATCTAGTTTGCTCCACTGGGTCTGATGCCTCTGGTGCTGTTGAAAACTGAGGTTTGAAAATCAAACACAGCCCAAACCACTAACATGGTTAGCTTCAGCCTTTCCTGTTTGGTTGGGTAACCTCAAAAGTCATCTGACCAATCCCATGGGCTTGGTATGTTTCTTACATATAGACTGTTTGCCAAGACAACTGGCATTTCATGGGTGGAATAGTGACTTGGAACTTAAACCCTAGAAGAGAAATGAATTGTAGCAATAGCTGTAATAAAGAATAAAAGCTATAAAAAGAGTGATGGTCTTACTGAAGTAATAAAACTCATTCAATTACATGTTCCAAAAGGCACTTAGAACTCTCCTCCACAAAGGAAGCCAACACCACAAATACTGCCTCCTGTGAGGGATGATCAGAAGTCCTGCCAGGCAGAGACAAGTGTCCCTTCCCATGTCTGCAGGTGGGGACATAAAACGGTACATTCCTAACCCCTCAGGAAAGGAAGTTAACAATATGGACTAAGAGCTTCAAAAACAGTCAGTTTGGGGCCAGCAAGATAACACAATGGGGAAAAACACTTGCTACAGCTAGGCAGTGGTGGCACACACCTTTGATCCAAACACTCGAGAAGCAGAGGCAGGCCAATCTCTGTGAGTTCAAAGCCAGCCTGGTCTACCTAACAAGTTTTTGTCTCAAAAAAAAAAAATTACCACAAAAAAAGCCCTGACCTGAGTTTGATCCTGGAACCCATAAAGAGACATAGACATACAGGCAGGCAAAGCACCATATACATAAAATAAATAATCCTTAAAAAATGCCAAGTTGGAAGTTAAAATATGTATATTCAAGGCTCTTTGGGTGAAGGTGCCTGTCACCAAGCATGGTCACCCGAGTTCAATCCCTGGGACCTACATAATTACATAATGGAAGGAGGGGACTGACCCTCACAAGTTGTTCTTTAACCTTCACATGCCAGTAACTGTCACTGCAGGCATCCACACCATGTACATGTACACACACACACACACACACACACACACACCCCACA